TCGCCTCTTTCTGTCCACAAGCACACTTGCCCTATAGCAAAAAGAAAATAAAAATGGAAAATTTCAAAAAATAGTTTTGTTTCCACTTTTAATATTTTGGGGAAGATGCTTGTGACAACCAAGGATAGTATGGGGCCCCTTCCAGACTGAATCACCCTTCCCGGGGTCCCCAGGCAGGCCAGTCCTAGCTCCAGGCAGGGACGCAGAGCTTCAGGAGGTGCATCCACACAGCTGTTACCCGGCAGCCCTGGCCCCATCTCCCGTCAGCAGGAGCTGGGCAGCCCCAGCCCTCATGCGTCCGGCGTCCGCCTGGCCTGCCCAACCCGCCTGGCCAGTACCTGTGTGTCTGTTTGAGACCTCCGTCCCACAGCACCCACCTGTGGCAGCTGTGTGGCCGTGTCCTGTCCTGCACTGGCAGGTGGGGTCCCACCCCAGAGCACCCTCACCTGGAGGTGCCTTGGGCCGTGTGGACCACGAGACAGTCTTGCCAGAGCTGGAAGGAGGCAGTGACCGCAGTCCTTGCCATGAAGCAGCCTCTGGGCCTGTGACTGCACTCTTCTAAACTTCAGTCCGCGAGTCCTGGTCAGGCGTGTCCATTTTAGCTCTGCAACAGAGGGTCTCAGCGTCTGCCAGTACCGTCCACACCAAGGTCTGCAGTGACAGAGTGGATGCGGGTTTCGGTCTGTCTTTGCGGTCCCAGCTGGGACAGCAGGGTGCCACTCATGCCGTCCTGAGCTCCAGGCACAGGGCCAGCCTCACGAAGGTGGCTGAGGGGCTCCCAACCCTGGCCACACAGGAAGTGTGTGCTGTACCCTCCTGGGCTGCCTCTCAACGCCCCTCAGCCGCAGTCCTGTGGGCCTGCAGTCTCGCGACCACCGTACTCACTGCTGTTCCGGCTCAGGGGCGCCGCTCCTCACCCGGGAGGAGCTTCTCCGACTCCAGCTGTGCTCTCCCTGTCTTGTCCCGGAGCTGCTAGCCTCGGGGTGTGGCCGCGTGCCCGCGCTCCCGCAGGCCCCTAGCCCAGCCTGGCACTCGAGGTGCTGAGCGAATGCCCTGCAAGATCGCATTTGTCTCCGACAGCTGTGCAGGTGCGCTGTCCCCACTGAGCCCGTGGGAAGCAGCAGGGCTTCTGCTGCCCTGTGATCGGAGGTGCTACGGAGCAGCTGCCACCCTGGGCCCATCACCCGAGGTCGGGAGGGACGGGTGGGGTTGGTGCCCGTTGCAAGTGCTCAGCCTCCAGCCCTGCCTGGGCAGAGGTGAGTGAGGAAAGGCTGACCAGGGAAGCTGACCGGGGACCCATCCTTCGGGTCATGAAGGCTACGCAGCCTGGCACCAGGCCTTCACAGTGCCTTGGGCCGTTCTGGGGCCAGGGAGAAATGAGAGGGGGTCCCAGAAGGGAGATGTGAGATGGGGAGGTCACAGGAATGGTGGGTACTACCCCAGGGGTCGGGTAGGAGCAGAGCCTGCCTTAATAACAGGCTTGGGACAAGCGACTGGCGTAATGGCTGTCGCTGAACTCTCATGTAGTTGACCACGGTTCGAGTCCTGGACCCGGTGGCTTAAACTCATGCTCGTGCATGTGTGTGTGCGCGTGTGCAAGCCTAAGATCCTGAGAGGAGAATGGAGAAGGGATCGTGGCGTGGCCTTCCCCCCCATGGGGTGATTTCTCGCTTTCAGTCTGTCTCTCTGGCGAGTGCATGCACCCTACAGCAAAAAAGTGTCCAAAAAAAAAAAAAAAAGGCTTGCCCCAACGAGAAAGGGCGTGGTGGAGCCAGG